CCTCAATTGCTAAGATATGCTTAATTGACAGACTGTTTTTAAAGTTTGAAGGGATAATCTTTGAAAAATTCATATTGGTTATTAAACTAACCATTATTTACATTTATTTGTAGTCAATAAATAATTATACCTTTAAATTGTAGGCGGTCTAAACAAATAAATTGTATACTGTCTGAACATATGTGATAGAAAAAATATCACAAAAAAAGGAATTTAGTACATGTATTACTATGAGTATTTCGAAGGTCTAGTGCTATAATGGGCGTAAATGCATTTTTACAAGTTTTGGGAAATTGAAAAAAACTGTCTGCAGACTTTGATCTTTTATCAATCATGATAAAATTTGGGACACACTTAGAACAACTAATATCGACTTTTTTTTAAACATTTTTCAAATTAAAATAACCCATCACCTTAATAAAATTCACGAAATCCGTTTTATGCCCTTACAATATTTACATTTTTATGCATCGGCCAATAATTCTAAAAGGACGTAACTAGCAGTTACACTGTTTAAAATTGTTACTTCGACTTAGCTTAATAGGGCGTAACTACCATATATGCCCTTTTAGATTTTAGTGTATTCATTAATTTTTCAATACAATTATATAATTGTTTTTATCTATAACAATAATGAATTGTAATAAGTGACCATTTTTAAAGTATCCTTTGTCTTTTATCCTATGATATTTTATGTGAAGGTTACTTGATAGATAAATAAAACACGTATTGATTGTAATTGTTACATAATTATATTATTTAGAACAGTTTCTATGTTTCATTAAATTAACTTCCAGCTGCTTATTATATAATTTACCTTAGAAGTTACAACAAATTCATTCTTTCCTAGAATTTACTTAAATAACTGATACATTCTGTGTGTGGTAATTCTACATGTTAACTATCTTAGCTCTTAGTATTGTGTCGTAGTTTCCTGTGGCCCATTGAAACCATTAATAGAAAAGGTTGTACTTCAAGTTGGATTAAAATCCATCTTATGATTAAAGAAGAGATATTTCTAAAGAACTTCTGGTTAACGACGGATGACAGACATATTCTTATCACAGACAAAAGCTCACCCAAGCACTAAAACGTCAAGGACGGAACATTATTAACGCTTAATGTACAATGATGCATATACGGCAGCTAATACTAAACATAAAGGCAACTTTGATACAAATTTTAACTGTTTAGTTTATACAAATTTATTTAAGTTCGGTTGTGTTGGAAGTTGTAAGCTTATCTAAACACACTTGAATCTGCTCCCATTGAAACAATACCTTGGCCCTTAAGGGTTTTGAACAGTTAAACCTTTGGTTCTTGTTACAGTAGCCTGATTCAAGCAAGTTGAAAATATTTTTGAAAACTAAAATATACATTTTCAGACAAAATACACAAATAAATCTTTTTTTTCTGTATTGAGGCATGAATGAATGATCATTCATAAGATACACATGAAATATTATCATCAAATCATGTATTCATGTATACATGTACATTTTGTTGGAATTAGAATTACTTAAAAAAAACTACTTAAATACAAGCTTAAAAGCACTTTGAAAATTTGAAAGAATACACTATTTATACTTCTAACAGATCCAAATACAAATTTTATTGCAATTAACAATCAACTTTATATCAATGACAATAAGACTTAGCAATGTCAACTGTATCTAACAACTCTATGCTACTATACCATAGTCTATTCCCGTCACACAGTGTTGTCCAATGGCCCAATGTACAAAAACCTTCGTTGTTATTTTAAAAAATAATTAACAGTTTTCCCTTAAAGAAATTATTCATATTAGCTTTTATGTAATCTGGGTCCATTCGACCCTTTTACAAGCTTGACATACACGGTGTCTCCTGCCATCTTAGAATGACTTCTAACAGAATTGGTGTTGATTTTGTCAGTTTCTAAAGTGTTTACTGCACAAAGACACATTGTTGAAAATGAAGCCACATGAAGCTAGCGGAGTAGAATAAACATTCTTTAACATGACAAAATTATGAATGTTTATAAAGACAATTTAATGCAATATCGTTGCTTCCGTTTTGGAAATTTCTCGGTCTACGGGAGGGGACATTCCTCCCACTCCCACCTGATTATAGATAGGTACAACTAGAGGCCTATATTTTACGAAACATGCAAAGCGCCTGTTTAAATGCAATATTGCTATTTCTTTAATCATGTCATTTTGTTTCTAGTGATTCAGTTTTACCCCCTCATCCTTAAATGTGTCAAGGTATGTCCCTGACTCGTGACACAAAGTCTTAACGTGCGTAAGTGTGATTATCCGACTATCTGTTTGAACTAACGTATCAAAATCTTAAAAGGGCCTAACTGCTACTTAGGATCTTATAAAATTTGAGCATGGTGTAGTTATGGTGTAGTTACGACCTTTATAAAATGTTCCTTTTGAGCTCGGTGCACTTACGCCCTACCAATCATTCTTCGATATTGAAGCCAACTTAAATGCTAGGGTAAAGATATTTTGTCAGCAGGTGCGCGGTGACGTTCTGCTTCAAATGGCGTAAAAACATGTAAAAGGGCGCAAGTACTACTTCCGCCCTTATAGCACTAGACCGTCGATTTATTATAGAAATTGTATTTCAAATATATTTAAATAGTGTTATTGCTAGTCATTTTGTATGACAAACACACAAATCTAGTGCTCTGCATTATAAATGTAAGAAGAGACAAATAAGATAAGAAGCATTTTTTGCAAATAATTGCACTTCATCTAATTGTTATTGCATTTTTTAAAGGTGGACATGTGTCACTGGCAAGCAAATGAAGACTAGCATCACAGTTTGTGGGAATCTCCAGTTTTCAGATGTAGTGATCATAACTGTATAGGCACCATGAACACTTGGGACTAGTTGGACTATTTTAGAGGGGTAGTCTGAGTTAGCACTTCAGTTGAATCCCCTGTCAATAGTAAAGGGCAGTCATGAACATTGTGTTGAAGGAAAATGTTAAATCTAGTTGTTTTGGCTTCAAACAAAACCATCACACTTACCCAGCAGTGATAAATTAAATCAATTGTGATATTTTGACTGATTTCCCCAAAAGTTTCCATGAATTGAAGCTCCTGGGACTTGTGTAACATATGACTGCACATTCCAAAATTTATTAAAATATTGTGTAATGTTTAGCAATGTTGTGTAAATACATTCAGAGCTAGCATACTTCATAAGTTATAACATGTATCTTAGCTTGCCTGGTTTAATGAAAAGTAATATACCTGAGAATTGAAACTAGAATAAATTGTAGTTATTAGTACCCTTCTGTTTTCATTAAGAGCGGACTAAAGGCTGACCCCTTTCTGTATGTCAATGAAATCTGAATTCTGATATTACTCAAAAGGTACAAAAGCAAGGTTCATCATACTGGTATCTGATATAGAACCATACGGAGATTTAGCATGTTATTATAATAGTTGCGGTCTTAACCATCTGTCTGTATGGGCTTAAGTAATTATGGATAAATATCCGTGTTCATTCCATACAGAATTGTACTTGTGGGGGAAAAGGTTGCTCATGGAAGGCAAATATGTTTCTTATGGTGTTTTTGAGATTTTAAATGATTAAAGAAAAAAAAAACACATTGTGAACTTGGAAGACATCCGTCCCGGAATATGAATATAACTAAATACGTATTGAAGGGATTTTATGTAAACTTTACAAAGTCATAGAGACATTTGAGAGGAAGTGCAGAGTTCAAGAAACATAACTCTACCTTGCTTCATGTTTTAATTATCTCCCTTAAGTTGAAAATGCTTATTCTAAACTATCACTTAACTTACACACAGTTGTACAGACTCGAATTTGCCAAAGTGTCAAAGAACCATAACTGCATTCCTTAGTTTTTTAATTATCTCCCTTTATAATACATGTACTTAATTATGCTTGTCCAGAGAAATACTGGAAAAGAGTTGATGGAATTTGATTAACATTTTACACAGCGAAAACATTCAAGTGAAAGGAAGTGTATTTTCAAAGAACCATAATTTTTCCTAGCTTAATTTTACAATTATCATCTCTTATAATGCATCAACATTTAAAATATAGGTTATCTGGAGTAAATCTTTTTAATGATATCTCACTCAAACTAAATACAGTTGTAGAGACTAGTGAGCAGAAGTGCTGTGTCAAATAACCAAAATTCTACATTACTTATTTTTTTAATTATCTCCGTTTATATTATTTCATGATACTTGTTCAGAGAGAGGATTAAAATATTGAAGGAATTTGATTGAAACCTCATACAGTGAAAGAGATTAGTATGAGAAGTGCAGTGAACAAAAGCCATCAAAAGTTCTAATGACATGGCCTCATTCATATAATGCGATGCAAAAATATTGGCCAGTCGAGTGTTTTCTTGATTCTGATACAGAAAATGTAATATATTTATATCACAATTGATTATTTTTTATAGCTTTGGCTCCTTTTATTATGTCATGTGTTAAAATAGTCGAGCTTGAAGTTTCCTCTGGTAGTTCTTATTTCACTTGCGTGCTCTTGCCAAAATGGGCCAATAACGGTTTGTGATGGACCTACACGTACATGTAACCTAAATATTATATTTGAACATGTGTGCCATATAATTATTGTATCAACTACTGTTCATTTACTGAATTGTGAACTTTATATTTATCAACCGGCAACACCCTTCACTCATTGAATTATGTGCCCCCTAAATAGTAAAAAATGGTAATTTTGATCCTTCAAGTACGTCCCAACTGCATTGCCTTCAGCACTTTGATTTTTGTGTTTATCATGTGTTTCTAATCGATATTATATATTCAAGTATTGTAAAGTGCATTCTTTTGTTCATTATATTTACAAAATAGGCAGTCAAAGAAATAAAGTTTCTCTAAAGATATGCATGTATTTTAATCATAAGTCAAACAGTAAGACGAAAAAGCAGACGATTTATTGAAACCTGAGTAAACGGTCATGCGCATTAAAACGCAAGTACGTTGCTAAGATTTTTGTAAACATAATATTATTTTGTTATTGCTACTGTGGTACTTAAAGTTAATCATGGGATCTTTTAATATAATTATTATTTTTATATTCTTAAACATTTCTTTAGTTTACATTATTGGTTTTAAAGTATATCTCTATATATTAGCCATCTTAGTTTCATGCGTTTTGGCTTATACAGTTTATACAAAAAGGAAGAAATGTAAAGTACCATTTCGTGCAGGTCGAGGTGTTTTGATAACAGGATGTGATACAGGTATTAGTTCTGTTTGGTATGGTGGAATTTTTTCCGCAGTGTGAGTAAATGTAGACTAAGAAATGTAATTGTTTCAAAACTGTTCTATATTGATGAATCTTGAAACAGACTTTAGTTGTTGATAAGCTCCGCCGTCTCTTGACTAAACGAGGTAAACATACACACGGCTGCTGTTATTGCACACATCTTGACCACATTAAGAACTGATAAGCTCAAGTATTAGATAACATTACAAGTCTTTTTCAGGTTGCAATTATCCTTTAATAATATTCATTGTGTTTATAAATATTGTAAATGCAATTCAAAGTACTGTTATGTCTTGAGATATCAAATGTTCATAGCCAAAAAATACATGTTTTTCTACTGTTAAGTAAATGCGGATTAAATAATAAAAGTTAAAGGAAAAGAAAGGACTTATGAAAAGTCTTTATCTTTTTACTCTTAAGATAACACTTGACATGAAGCATGTTCTTGTAAATTTAAAGTGTGAAGTGAAGACGGGCAATTCATAGGAAAATAACGGCTATGGTGCCATGAATGTAGGAAAAATATACTGAATGTTTCTCAAAAAAACATACTTACATTTTAAACATGAAATGTCCAGATGTTTACAGACCTACACAGTTTGTGTAAAGGTATATAAATTTGATGTGTGATACCTTAGAAAATAATGATTAAGGTCAGACAAAAGAGAGCCAGCTTTATCTGAAAAGGACACAAAAGTCTGACTCGAAGTACTTATAACAAGTTTGAAATTTCATGACAACGGAAGCCGGCATTATTTTTAAAGTTTTGTACATTTGTTTATCAAATAGCTTACATATATTGCTTTCGAAATTCATAGGTCATATTTTTGAGAAAAAAAAATCTCATGAGGAAGTTTTCTCATAGAAATAAGTTTGAGAAAATGAAATTGGTCTTCGTTAAAACATTGAAGTAGTGGTTGATTGAAAACTTCTAGATATGAAGGCCAAAAACTTGTTGATTAATAAGTCCAAGTCTCAATTTCATAAATGTAAGTAAAACATTTTTTTTCATCATAATTATATGATATATGCATGTATTATATGAACAAGTAGTTCAATGACTGATGAAGAGAAAGAACAATACTTATTTGAAAACGCAATGTAAAACTATTTCAGATTAAGGTTAGGGTTAAAGCTAAGAAAAGTTTCTTTTAAAACAGACTGAGCTCTACTGCTGTCAACTTGAGTCTCGGCATACACTCTATCCCTTCAAGCAGATAATGCTTCTTGAGTGTCATCACTTTTATGATGACACTTTTTATATAGGTTTCCCCTTAGATAATGTCGTTCAGGAAAACACTGAAAGATATTGCAGATGCTGCATGTTTCCTGTCTACTATGTCTACAAAGAAATATATTACTAGGAAATGCCGTTAAAAATCTTGATAATGTATTTAACCTTAAAAAAGATGATGATCACCGGATTCTTTCCACGGATTGTCATATTTAAAAGTAACCATATTAAATTCTTTACATTTAACTTTTACATGACCTCCAACATAAAAACATTATGTTTTTTTTTGTAGTAGGTATTAATAGAATTTGTCTTATTTTTACACTATTATCTATTTTAATAATTTAACAGAATTGTTTAATTTTAGCTTCAGCTGAAAAGTAATTACTCTGTACTATCAATTATTCTTAAAGTTTAAGTTTACTTATAATTAACATTTTAAGTGTCCGTCCTAATATAAGAATTCATGCATAATATTATGTGTCAGTAAATCACCTATATTGTTGACTGCTAAGAAATTTGTAGCAAGTTTAAATGTGCACTGGGAATGTTTACTTTCTTCAGGTTACGTGCCTTCCTCCGTCGATACAGTGTATGTAGTTAAAATTATACAGTAGTATATTTTACCTTGACATCTCATTTGAGATATAATATTCTACATAATATACTTGTCACCAAAATCAAAACATACAATATGGTATCAGAAGTGATGGAAATTAAATTTAGCTTCACCTGATATTTGGATTGGATTATATTGACTGAAACTTTAATAAAAAATAAACAAAATGACACTCTCTGGAATAACCCACCAAACATGAACTGGGACATGACCTTCAACATGGAAAAAAATTGAAAGAAAATGTCAAACTAATATTCAGTGGACCTCTTAAGAAAAATCAGAGGAAGAAAGAATATCGTACCTACTTATATGGGTAGGAGAAAAGGTGCAAGATATTATGCAATCCTGGAATTTAAACGCAGATGATAGAAAAAAGATCGACACATACTTCGCAAAATTTCAAAATCACATTCAACCTAAACTAAACCAAATTTTTGCAAGGTACCAATTTAATGACGAATGGGAGGGTGATAAAAATATAAACCAATTCGTCACAAGATTAAAACTGAAAGACAACGAATGCAGATACCAAGATGGAACAAAAGACGAAATGATCAGAGACCGCATGTTTTTCGGGGTGAACAACCAAAAACTAAGGGAGAATTAATTAACGAAGGAGAATCATTATCATTGGACAAAGCAATCCAAATCTCACAAAATTTTGAAAACTGTAAAAAACAAATGGACATTCTTAACTCGCGAAAAGATGTAAATTACGTCAAACATGCACGAAGGCGTGGTCGTGCCAACACCGAGCACAGCGCTAACAGGATCGACACGAAACCGAAGTTTAAACTACTGCCTGTAGAAATTGTGGAACATACCATGACATCACACAAAGAAGGAAATGCCCGGCACATGGACAGCAGTGCAAATCATGTGAAATGTACAACAATTGATCAAAAGTATGCCGTTCAACCAAACAAAAATATGTCCATGAATTGTCTAACAATTTAAGTGAAAAAAAGTGATGACTCTTGTATTGATAACTATTTCATTGACACGGTAAGTCACAAAACATCGCCAATCCCGCGCGTTTGTTGAGATTAAGATTGGCCCGAAATGCAAAAGCAATAATTTTAAACTTGATACAGGTAGCAGCGTTAACATACTCTATAAGCGCAAATTTGAATCGCTGCACATGAGAATCCTTTTGCAAGTCCCCGATTCTAAATTTGTCTCTTACTCAGGTGATACAATTGAAGTAATAGGAAAGATCAGTTTAACCTGTAGCTATCGTACCGTACAAGTTACTGTAGATTTCTATGTCGTAAACAGTGACGCTCCATCGCTTATAGGATTACAGACTCCATTGACCTTGGTATAATTAAACTCACATATGACATTAATTGCCAAAATACTCAGTACATGACTAAATAATCAGAAATGTCTGAATACGGTGATTTGTTCAGGGGTGTAGGCATACTCCCTGTAAAAACTAACTACACCTGCGTGATGACGCTATTCCAGTAATTACACCTCCGAGACGTGTACCGGAAGCGCTCAAATAGCGACTTAAGCAAGAGGTTGAGCAAATGGTCAAAGACGCCAGGGATGGAACCTACGGACTGGGTACAGACCCCATTGTAGTAGTCGAAAAACCGAACGGAAAATAACGTATTTGCCTAGATCAATGACGCAATATGAAGACCTCATTATGTCACATCAACACTTGATGACTTAACAGTAAAGCTTGCTGGAGCTAAATACTTTATCATGCTAGATCTTACTCATGCATATTGGTCTGTACAACTTGTCAAACAATCGTCTTAAGTTTGCATTAAGTTAACATTTGCTACTCCTTTCAGTAGAAAGAGGTACTTAAGGTTACCATACGGTATATCATCAAGTGATATACTTTGTCAAAAGGTCAATCAGGTATCCGAAGGAATAAACGGAATTCACCCTCTTTTTGATGATATTTTATTAAGGCGAAGCACGCAAGGTGAACATGATAAACGTCAAACACAGGTCGTATTATGCGCGCGCGAGCAAGTATCAGGTTTAATGGACAAAAATGCACCATTGGCGCAAAATCGGTACCATTTTTTGGTCATATCACAGAAAGTGGGTTAAAAGCTGACCCGTCTATGATCGAAGCAATTATGAAATTGCCAATCCCCAAAAACCGCAAAAAGATCGAAAGACTCTTGGGAGGTCAAATATCTCTCTAAATTCGCGCCAAATCTAGCAGAAAATACAGTCCCCTTACGGAGCCTCTTGAAAAAAAGATGCAGAGTTTATTAGGGACCATGTTCATGACCGAGAATTTTCTGAGGTCAAAGATATTATAACAGAGCACCGGTACTCGATCACTATGACCCGACAAAGCCGCTTATACTTGAAACGGACGCTTCGAAGTTCGGAGTTGCTTGTTGTCTTTTTCAAGAAAATTAACCTATCGCATTCGCAAGCAAAAGCCTGCCGCAAACTGAAATCGGTTATGCTGTCATTGAAAAAGAAATGCTTGGAATTTCGTTCGGATGTAAACGGTTTCATCAATCAATTCACTTATGGTAGAGAAGTTATCGTGCACTGCATCACAAAACAATTTCTGCCATTATAAAAAACAATGTCCGCAGCACCGTCTAGATTATCTAGAATGCTACTAGCTCTGTCTAAATATCAGTTAATCGTTAAGCACATGCCTGGTAAAGAAATACCAGTTAGTGACTGCCTATCACGACAATGTGTCCCTGATACATACATAAATATGTCTGACAAGCTTGATAATTACGTGCAGACCGACGAATAGGAAATTTTCGCGCCAAAACGTGCAAAGACGCACAAATAAAAATTCTGAAAGAGACTATATTAAACGGTTGGCAAGATTCTAGAGCAAAGTACGAGTAATCATCAATGCTTCATTTCTAGAACCACCGCGATATTGAAAGCACAGAAAATGACCTAATATTTCGGGGTCATACGATTGAAATACCGAAAAACTTGAGAAATGAACTTGTACAGAAAGTTTATTCTTATGTAATTTTGTTGTGATTAATGCTTCCGAGGGATCACTTTGTTTCCAGATTTTCATACAGGTCACATGGGAATTACGAAAACACTTGAACGTGCAAAAGATTTTTATTTTTGCCAGGCATGTACAAACAAATAAAAGAAAATGTTAGCAATGTAGCATATGTCTTACATACCGCGACGCAAACACTAAAGAACCGCTAATGACCACAGAATTCCCTGACAGACCTTACCAAAAAAAGCAGCAGACCTGTTCTATTTTAAAGGTAAAGAGTATCTATTGACTATATATTACAATTCGAAATTGTTTGAAGTAGACTATCCACCAAACACTACATCAAAATACCTGAAGCATTTGTCTCAGTCAATGGTAGTCAAAAGCTCAGAATTCAAAGAATTTCGCTAAACAGTGAGGGTTCGAACACAGAACTTCATCCCCCGGATATCCCAAGTCGAACGGTCTTACTGAAAAAGGTTCTAGGTATCGCGAAAAAAACTTATGCAAAAGGCTGAAGATACAAGCACAAGCATTTACATTGCATTACTATAATACCGCAATACACCTCTTGAGTGCGGTTATTCTCCTACGGCTGGAGAATAAAATCCATTGTGCCAGTTACAAATAAAGCGCTGGTACCCATTTTAGTAAATAACTCAAAAGTGCGCAGTCTTATGAAAGAAAATCGAAAGACAAACAAAAGGTTAATTAAGACAAAAATGCAAAATATTTGCCATCTTTGTCCTTGAATCAATCAGTACGCATTAAAATAGGAAAAACGCGGAAACTTGGAAAAATAGTAAAATTACACAGTGACCGCTCCTATCATGACGGCGGCATATATCGGAAAAATCGGTCAGTATTACGCAAAGTCCGGAAGACACAACCGATATTGAATCATTTCATGCGCAAGTCTGGACATCTCATTTGAGATATAATATTGTACATAATATACTTGTCACGAAAAACAAAACATACAACATGAACAACGTTAAATTAACATTATTATAACCAAACTTTAAGATCTTGTATGTTGTAATTGAGGTTGTATACCACACTTAAGTAAAATTATATATATGTATATAATTATGCTTATGAAATAATTTTCAAACATCAAAGAATATGTAAAATATGTACTGCAAATATTTGTACATATTATATGTAATAATTAAAATATATGCATTCATTTCTTATTGAAAAATTTGACTTAGACTTGATAGAACATATTTTTATTACCTCCCTTTATTTACATGAAGTATTAATTTTGGTAATATCTTAATAAATAATGCTTTTTTGGAACTTGCAAAATTGATAAATCTTAATTTGAGCATCATATTTATGTTATAAAACCATTAACAATTTGTGTTATAGGATCTTTAAATTGGTGCAAATGTAGTTAAATATTGGGTCATTTGAAACAATGTCCAATATACCACTATAAAGCACTAAACTATTGTTTATCAATAATTTGCTAATTTGAGTAGCATGTTCTGTTCACAGCTTGTTGAATATCTTGCCAATCTGATATCGATAGTTGAATCTGGAGCATTTTAGGTTGTTACTTATACCGTATTTCTGTACGTTTTTCTCTGCGTTTATGTTATATATATTTACAAGTAATTTTTTAACACACTGAAATGTTAAATATTCTAAAATTGATCCATATGACCTATTACAACTTTTTCACGCCATTTCAAGTATGTCTTGTAAGTACTGCGTTACTACTTTTGAATAAGTTTCTTTTACTTGCATTTAATTTGCAATAATTATATCGTTTCAAACCAGAAGCATGCAGGTATTTCATGCTATTGAATTCATACAGGTTACTAGTATATTGAAACCCAATGCAGTTTGGGAAGGTTACAAAACTATCACTTGCTTTTGATATAGAAAGATACTTTCGAACATCGTCATAAAATATTTTATACATTAAAGGTTTAGGACACGATGCAGCGTTGCAATTTGTCAACACCGGCTTCATAGTGTTTGCTGGCTGTTTGACACCTGAAGGGGCAAATGATCTCTGGCAGAAAGGAGGAGGAGGAAGACTTCATGTTATTCTTTTAGATGTTACAAGTGAAACAAGTGTTCAAGATGCCGTGGAAGTTGTAGAATCAAAGATTGCCGACTCAGGTACATTGTAGTCCCTAGCAATCCGGGAAAATGAGGTTGAAATCTATCTTATAAATTTTGACATTTCTTTAGAAGCTGTACCCCTCTTACTTAGATATACATTTGAATATCTTTATTCTTTACATGAAAGATAAGAAATTGGCAAGGTCTGGCTTATACATATGAAGCATTGGTGACCAAGGTTTCATTGAATTTTAAGCACAGTTGCACCAAATGTTTCGTCATAAATAGACTGAAATTTTAGGAGACAAGGATATATGTACATACACGCTACTTAACGAATTGGGGTTTGTATATATTATAGATTACACTAAAACTATTCTGAAGTTACGAATGATTCATTTAATTGACGTTCTTAAGCACTTATTGGCACTTTTATGGGTAGAAAGATAACGAGTTGTTAGAGCCGATTTGCTGTTATAGGGGTAAGAGTTCGATAAGACTCCCGACGGTCGTCTTAATACAAACTCTGACCCATACTTATTTTCGAAACTATCTAAGTTGATTTAAGTATGGGTAAGAGTTTGTATTAAGACGACCGTAGGGAGTCTTATCAAACTCTTACCCATATAACTGCAAATCGGCTCTCACAACTTGATATCAGATAAAAAATATGATAAAAAATATAGAAAGTGTCACCTCTTTAATTAAGCATAACATTGTTTTTCCCCAGCAGTCACGTACAAAAAAGGATGGGGTCCAATTACTTAATCTGGCATGTAAAACAATGAGTTTTCAACAATACCTACGATTGTTAATGCAATTCATTCCTGTCATATAAAACAAAATAACTGCAAATCAGCTCTTACTCGGCAGTAATTAGTGTAGCCGCTTTTTCATGAAGAAACCAGTGCTGATAGTGAAAATTGTGATTGGCATATTTTAATTAGCCAGGTCAGGTGTTTCTAAAAAGGCTGATAACACTGTAGCAATGTGAGGATACATTCAAATTTCTGTTATTACATAGATAATGCACGTGGAGCTCAGCTCGCAGAGACAAATGAGAACACAGTAACATTTTTGATATCCTTTTAACTCTTAGAAAAATGTCAATTATTAATTGCTGACTGTTTATATTTTCTAGAAAAAGTAAGCAAAACATTATTTTGTTTCATATGACAGGAATGAGTTGCATTAACAATCGTAGGTATTGTTGAAAACTCATTGTTTTACATGCGAGATTAAGTAATTGGACCCCATCCTTGTTTGTACGTGACTGCTGGGGAAAAATAATGTTATGCTTAATTAAAGAGGTGACACTTTCTATATTTTTATCTGATATCGAGTTGTAAGAGCCGATTTGCAGTTATATGGGTAAGAGTTCGATAAGACTCCCTACGGTCGTCTTAACAGTCCTACGCATAATACCCTTCCAGCTTGCTGAATCTCAGTAAGGGCTTATCAGCTAGTAAATCACTATAGCTGTATGTCTCCCATTAACACGTCCACCGAGTTGAGAGTTTTGTCATTATTATTTGCCCCTCTGTATTCTTATCTAATGGCCCCAACGTTGAAGGATCAAATTTCTTTAGAAGATACACTCACTAAATTCATCAATGTTTTTCTCTCCTTTCTTTTGTAAATGGGTATGTTGCCAATTAAATTGTGAAACTTAGCAATTATTTGTAAATATACTTTATAACATACGATATTTTTTTTAATTAATAATAAATACTCATTACTCATACTGTTACTCATGTTACTGACTGAACCCCCCTCCCGGCCTGCTAAAAAACAAAAACAAAAAAACTGTTCATATATGTATCTTTTACTGCAAAGTGCAAGACTCTTAACTAAAATGACCAGATAAGTGATATATTTATTATTAGCTCGACTATTCTAAGAATATTGTGAGTTGTCCTATTCACCTCGGTTTGCAAGTCGACGTCAGTGTCCATGCTTTAAATTAATGTTTATGCGCCTATAACTTCTTGATTTATTAAGGTATCAATTTCAAATATATATTCCTCCTCATCATCCACATCATTTGATAAGGTGCAAAACTCTAAAACCAGTATCTCCAGAACTTTATCCCCTTGAACTTAAAATAATGTTATATTTTACTCTAACATCTTTATTTCATATTAAAGTATTGACTTTAAACTTCAAACATGTGACAATGTTGTTTTTTTAACTCTAACACCAATTTTTCCAGAATTATCTCCACATGAACTTTTTTTCTCTCAAAAAATGTTACTTTTTACTTTCTTTTTTATTTCTTAAGGTATCAACTTCTAACTTCAAATATATTTCCTTATCATGTGTGACAAGATTCATAATTGTAGCATGAATATTTCCAGGATTATTTCCCCCATTTAACCTTTTATTAAAATAAAAAATGATATTTTATAACTTTAAATAATAACATGGCAAGATTCATAACTCTAACATCAATATTTTCAGAATTATCATCCCTTTATACTTAGAATTTTCCTTAGTTATTTCAAAATCCCGCAATGCATGGCAAAGTTTCATACCTACTGGACATGATTGTTGTGTAAGTGGGGACACACAGACAGACATGAGCCTTAGCTGCGATACATTGTCCAGATGTGGTAGACATTTGTGCCAAGTTATTATAAAATCTTTCCATGCATGACAAAGTTGCAGTCCGGACATGAATGTGTATCTTCAAACTCTTCTCGATTTATGAATGAATACCTTCAAACTATAAGTATGACCTTGACCTTGAAGGTAGGGATAGGGGTTTTAGTCACGACATGTCGTCTTGATGTGGAAGATATTAATGCCTAGTTATTTTGTAATCCTTAGATGCATGACAGTCCGGACACGAATGTGTGTAACTATAAACTCTAATTTTGATATAGTGAACTTCAAAATGGTAGTGTGACCTTGACCTTTGAGGTAGGGGCGTGATAAGTGGACGCGACACATCGTCTTGATGTGGTAGACATTTATGCCAAGTTATTCTAAAATTATTCCATGCATGACAAAGTTACATTCCGGACACATATGTGTGAACCTATAAACTTTTTTTGTGATAAAGTGAAACTTCAAATGTTAGTGTGACCATGACCTCTGAGGTAGGACGTAATTCTTGGACGCGACACATCGTCTTAATGTGGTAGACATTAATGCCTAGTTATTTCAATATCATTCCATGCATGACAAAGGTACAGTCCAGACAAGAATGAAGTGGGGACGCACAGACAGACGATCGTCCAGACATAGAGGGACGGTGCGATTTTAATATGCCTCCCTTCGGCGGCATAAAAATGTTTCTTAACAACACCTATATCAGGTGCGATTAGATTTATAAATCAAGTCCTGTATTTCTAGAATTATCTCCATTTCATTTTTGAATTAGGGATTTATTGAAAATTAATATATTTCTAAGAATTATCTTTGTTATTATAAATGACATCAACTCTAGACTTAAGATAATTGTCCTTTGTCATTACTTACATCATGCATGACAAGGTTTATAACTCTAGCATCCTTATTTCAAGAAAAAATTCCTCTTTGAATTTAGAATTTTACTTTAAAAACTTTATTTACTTTTGCTTGTATCATTTTGGTAACTTTTTTAAAAAAAAATCACATTCATCTCTTTTCCTACTAGATTGATATATTAGCTTCAATAATGCTTTGAATCAATTATCATTATTACTAAACATTATTTTGCTCCTTCTGAAAAAGGGAAATAATGTAAATCACTGAGGTATGATATGCCTTTAATATGAAAGTAATTTACACAAGTATTTTCATTGTGAGTTGTAAGTGATTTAAAACCTTTTTTTAATGTAATCCAATTTTTTTTGTCTTTAACTATTATTAAAAATTGTATGTATCTCTTTACACTAAAAAGTTAAATCTCAGTTTTTCTTTACATCTAAAATGTTCTCTACATGTCTTCCAGCTTAAACTATACATTCTTGAAACATGATAGGATCATAAAACATTCAAGGGTGCTGCTATCAGTAATACAGTGACAAGCCATGTAATTATAATTAAATGCTCATCACTGACCAGAGATAGGAAATTTTGGGGAAAACTGGAAATTTTGGGTTTATGCGTAGGACTGTTAATACGAACTCTTACCCATACATAACTGCTAATAGGCTCTTACTCGGCAATAATTAGTGTAGCCGCTTTTTCATGAAGAAAATGGTGCTGATAGTGAAAATTGTGATTGGCATATTTTTATTAACCAGGTCAGGTGTTTCTAAAAAGGCTGATAACACTGTAGCAATGTGAGGATACATTCAAATTTATTACATAGATAATGCACGTGGAGCTCAGCTCGCAGAGACAAATGAGGACACATTAACTTTTTGATATCCTTTTAACTCTAAGAAAAATGTCATTTATTAATTGCTGACTGTTTATATAAAAATTATAAACATTATTTCATTTAAACTCATCAGTTAGCATATAATATACTAGTATTAGACACTTATTGTACATCATAAACTAAGAATACCTGATAAGTTCTGATATAATTATCATTTTTTGCTCAGATCTTGTGCAAAATAAACTCAGTAAGTTAAATAAACTGTTCACTAGAAAATGCAAGGAGTATTATTTTACAGGTCTTAAATATCTGAGCAAATGAACTAGAAAGTTAAAGAACTGTCCTGTACATTTAATTTTAGATCTATTCTTTACATTTTACTTCATATTGGCAAGAACTATCCTTTACATTTTACTTTAGAACTATCCTCTTCATTTTATTTCATAATGGCAAACTGTACTTTACGGTTTGGCTTAGAACTATCCTTTACATTTTATTTCATAATGGCAAGAATTATCCTTTACATTTTAGTTTAGAACTCTCCTTTACATTTTATTTTAGAATGGCCAATGAGATTCCCAGATTTCATTTTGTAATTTTAAAATAACCATTGAAAACTCTTCTTATATTCAGTTCTTCCCAGTACATTGTAATTTAGTCAAACTGAAAACAGATCGGCCTTCGGTCGGAATAACTCACAAATTCAAAATTGCCAATCTTACCTCCAATATCGTCCTCATATGGGAGGTAAGCACTGGAAATCAAACAAGTTGGTCCCCATGGCATGTTTAATATCTTGTAAAGATAAGTATAGTATATCAGTTTGATATTTTATATGTGATATTTCGTTGAAATGTACATTATGTCATTAAGCTTTTGTTCTGTAAAAAAATGAGGTTATTTTAGGGATGTAGTGGGGTGTACCAAATGTGTGACCAAGCTTCCTTCACACGATTGAGTTAACCGTATTGTAAATTACTTGTAGATTGAATTGTTAAGATATGTAAATAATAATCATTTCAGAACTTTGGGCAGTCATTAACATTGCGGGCGTGGCGTTTACCGGAGATATTGAAATTGCACTAATTGAGACTATGCAGCGTATTGCAGAAGTTAACCTTTTCGGAATGATCCGAGTTACAAAAGCTTTTCTGCCCTTTATCCGGAAATCAAAAGGTATACGAGAGGTGTTCAAATATGAATGCAACTGGGTCAATTTTCAGAAGTGCTTAACAAACAGTGCCAAAATAATTATCTCAATCCTTCAAAATACTCACCACCATGTGATATACAAAGTTTTAGTCTTTTAATCCAATTTTAAATGCGTTTTCATAATCTTTTCGAGGTATACTGTTCAGACACTGGAAAATAGCCAAACCGAGATTTTTTCGCGTTTGATATTTTCTTCCAGCAAGGTGCTTTTTGAGCCTCGAAAATAGGAAAAAGTCAAAGCGGCAAATAAGGAGATTGAGGAAGCTCGGCCATATTTTCCTGTTATCAGATATGCAACAACCTGACACCACGGAAACCAGTTGCTGGTCGATTGTTTTTGAAGTATTTCCTTAATTTATGAAAGATCTTGGCTTTGTAAAACTTGGCATTTACAGATTTACCCTTTGGAACTTCAATTTGAATAGCAGGACCTTGTTTGGTAAAGATAATTACATACATGACCTTTTTGACGCTCATGGCGCGTTTTGCGCGTCTTTGACTTCCTTTGATTGCCCATATTTTGTTATGTATCATTCGCTTGGGCTCATTTAAGTGAACCAACGTATTATCGCCAGTGATGATATTTGCGAAAGATCTATTGTGTTATTCAGGGAACTGTTTCAACAATTGTTTTGGAGATTCTTACCCGAGCAAGTTTTTGTTCTTTGTGGTATCCATCTGGCACTTATCCTTCTCATTTTTAAATTACGTCTGAGAATAGTATGAGAGGCTCCTACAGAGATATCAACGCATTTAACTATATACCTACTTGTAAATCTTGCATTAGTAGCAATCAAATCCTTTACCTTTTCAACCATTTTTGGTGAAGTTGCAGTTTTCGGACGGCGTGCATGAGGTGCATCTTTTTACTAAGTCCAAACCATTTTAAACCGTCGTGTGACAGATGAAAAAGAAAGTTCATTGTTCCCATAAACACGCCAGATTTTATTAGATATGTCTTTCGCCAGTATACCAAGAATACAGCGGTTGTTGACCTATTTTGTCAGTGAATGGAGACCTTTTCCCAACCTTTTAGCTTTAGTATACACGAGAAGATAGCGTTAATCGAGCTATTGTCAAAGCTAGACTGAACTGATTTACACATGTACTGCGTCAATTGAGAGCTTACACAACCATCTATGCGAAACATGTACGTAGTTCGTGGGTAAAAGCGAGATATTGGCCTAGTTGCATTCATATTTTAACACCCCTTGTACAACGTTCATTGATAAATGAAATAAGATCGATGTATTAAGATAAATGTGAATAAACACAATTATTACGTTTGTAAGCTGTTGTTGTTGTTATTTTTTTCTAGAGACCTGCTTTATATAAAACTAAGATAGAAATAGCTAGCTTTTTTGTGTAGTTTTGACTAAACATTTTTTTATAAACACAGTTCATTACTCTCTGGTGCTAAATGAATATGAAGCTTAAAGCATTATTTTTTCTTCAAACAAGTGTTGGGGCTTGATTTCAACAATAAAACAAGGCTCGTATTTTAAAAGATCGACCAAAACAGACACTATTAGTCTATTACTCTACAAAATAAGTGATGGATATGAAGTTTAACATATTTTCAAATATTGAGATCTGGTATGATTTGTATTTATTTCAAGGTAGAGTAATAAACGTAACAAGTGCAAAAGGGCGAATAGCTTTACCTTCTGACGCTCCCTCTACCATTACACAATGGGCAGTCGAAGCTTTCTCTGACATTCTACGCAGAGAAATGTGCAGATTTGGTATCAAGGTTGTTATAATAGAGCCCGGACATTTTGCAGGAATAACTGGGATGGGGACAATCGACAATGTAATAAATATGTAGATCTTTATCTATTGAATAGTGTTTTCTTCGTGTATGATTCATGCAATCGTTTTAGCATCTGAAGAAGAATGTAATACATGTACTGTACATTTTGCCAATAAGTGTAGGTTGATTTGAATTGATTTTTTAATGTGTATTTAAAAAGTAATGTAATATTTGAAAGGTCAATAAATATCTAACATTCCCCTACTTTTCACAGCAATCAAATAATGCATTCTTAAACATGTTTACATGTGTTTAAAACATTCCATCATATATTTTTTAATAAAGTGTGTCTTAAAAGCTATCAATATACTATTTTACCTGAGAAATTCCAATCAGTCTTATGTTTTCAGGGTACAGATGCCGAAGCAAATCTTTACGAAGCATGGTTCAAGGCCCCTAAACATATCAAAACATGTTATGATAGAAAATACATAGACAGTCTGATACATAACTTCTACCGTGTAAAAAATAGCAGCAACCTTTCCAGGGAACCTGTTTTAGATGCTTTGCAGGACGCTATGGAAAACGTCAGTCCTAAGCTCCGGTACCTTGTACATGGAAACTATTGTGTTTCTGACGAGTATTGTGTAAGTCAATGTAACTATTATTGATCACTTTGTTCCGATTGTTTCAAGTATTTATATATTTTGGAAAATGGATAACAATAACGCCTATTGCGACCATCCGGAAGATATTACTGTATGTCTTCACATCGATTTTGATACGTAAATGAGATTTTTTTTATCTAAAACGCATTATTCATTTTCTTTATTGTTTTTTCATAGGTGCTTGCTGTGCTTAATAATGTTCTGCCGGATTCATGGATGGATTTCTTCGTTCAACGTGCGTTTCCTATTCCAGATGCTACAGAGCAAAACATATTTTGATCATATACAGTATTTTTACTGTAACGAACATACGAGACATACACCAATTAAGTATTTCTTCACCAAAATATACTTACTACTTCATTTTACATTATATTTGCAAGACATTAATGTAACTTAACATGTTCTATTATTACTTAGTATGATGAAAACATTATAACTGACACTGTGTGACGCTGTTGGCAAAAAAAAAAAGAAAATTGAAGGCTATGGATTGCACAGGGGTCATAAAAGTTTTCGATGAGTTTTACTTTCACTTATACATGAGATTTTTTTTAGTTTGTGATTATTATAATATCTAGTTATAATCTCTTTACAAGGGACGCCAGTGTTGATCTGCATAGTAGAAACAACTGTAGCAGGAACCAAAACTGTCATTTATCGTTGCTAAAAACAGGGGTTTAGAAAATCAAGAGACTTTAATGCTTAACTGTGAATCAGATAACGATTCAGATAAAGATAGTTGCGTGCAACTTATTGTTTAATTATAATGTATCATCTTTTTACAGTGCAGTCATTTTTTTCTAAAACATGACTTGAAACTTTCACCCTCGATATTCATACAATTCAGATATTCCTCTAAGTTCTAACAGATACATAAAATAGTAGGGGACCTTTCATGCACACAGAACACCCCTCTCATACTGTACTAATGTGTAAAGCTATCAGAACAGTGTACTGATAGACATTTGTGCCTACTGATATGGAGACTTAGATAACTTTATTTGTGGTATTGGTTTATTGACTTTGTTTTTGGTATTGTTTCATTGCCTTTACGTTAAATTATTGATTATATGATGAATACATATGGTAAAATAATTGTTGTTTTTTTTGTAAATAGTAAAATGTGTACCCCTTATTGGAAAAATATTTTGTTGTTTTATTTTACTTCAATGAATAAATATCATCTAAAGGTTATTTATCTAACGATAATTTTGTACAAGAATTACTTGTTTGTTTCGTGCATTTTTATCCCCTGTCGCGTAGCGGGTAGGGGATTTTAGCTATGCTCTCCGTCTATCCGTCTGTCTGTTTGTCCGTCTCTCCTGTCTGAGTGTCCGTCCAGAGCAT